TGCTGTCTTGGTGCAACTTGGTGCTGTCTTGGTGCAACTTGGTGCTGGCAAAACAGTATGTGTCTCAACAATGCATCTTTCCAACTTCCAACTTCAGCACCCGAACTGGATGGAGGAGATCTCTTGCACCCACGGCGCTGAGATCGTGCCGGTCAGAGAGGCCGGTCTAATTGGCCAAGCCCGTGTGACCTCGGACCTTCTACCAGGACACCCCGTAAGCCTTGACCTCTGAGAGTGTTGAATCCTTTAAGCAATCCTTAAAAATCAGAACCTGACACTCCTCCCGGTTTTTGGACACCCCGTTCGTTCTTCACCTCTAAAAACCGAACGAGGCGAACTGGACACAGACACCGTCCAAGCATTTGGGGTGGATGGGTTAAGTCCACCATGTTCGCCCCGCGCACGACCTCTTCCGGCTGGAAGTAGGTCGTGCACAGCCGGCCCTGACCCAACAAGTGGGACCACCCCAACTCCGTCCTAAACCTCCGAACTCACGCCGGCGCCCTGGTGCCACCCAAGCTGCTAGGGCTGTCCGGAAGCTGCCTCCCAGCGCTCCCAGCGCTCGCAGCTCCCTCCGCGCGTCCTGAGTGGCTCGCTCCGGAATAGGTCGGTTTTCCGAGCTGCGGACGTGCGTCCGTCTGTCCTGAATGGACGATCTGAATAGTCCAAAGATGGTTGGCAAAGGACATGGGAATTTGGGGTCAAGAACTCATACCAATCTGCGACCCCCACATCCCAGACGTTGAAGAAGCCAAGATCGACTTAGACTATCCCCGTTGGGTACCCCAAATATCTCCAGGTCCGAGATCATCGAACCCAGATGGGTGTAAAACCTGGGTCCAACTCTCAGAGGCTTAGAGGCTGAGTCAACACCCACCCAAAACCTGGGGCGTGTGGAGAGACTCGCATCGAACCGAAACCTATCGGTCTTCGAGTGGAGAGACGAAGCAAGTCCAATCCGAAGCAAGGCTGAGAAACTCAGCATTCTCTGGACGTCCGGCCCTTTGGATTCGGGTCGACGACTTGGCGAGCCTTTCTGTCACCTCGCGTCTCACCGAACCGGTCCAAAGGGGAGCTTCGATTGGGACCCGAAGCTTTCGGGGGCGACACCCGAAGGCGGCTGCTCCTAACGGCCAGGTTGACACCGACTTCGGTCCCGGTCCCACAGTGCGATTCCCCCAGGCTTCCTGCGGCCGGAGCTCCTGGATCGGTGGGGCCATGGCGCTAATCACTGCCTTCACTGCCACGGTCACAGGTTCACCAATGACGCGTCGCCTGGAGCGCTTCAAGACCTCAGCTGGTCGCGACTGGAAGGGTAAGACGACCAGTCTCAGTTCCGCCATCGGTGTTCTTTCGCAGCTTGCAGCTTGCCTGAAAAACACAAAAAATTGGGAACTGCGTGATCAGAGTCTGAGGTCTTCAAAAAATGGTTGTTTTGGTTGACCACCTTGATGAAGACCTTTTGAAGACCTTTCAGTCTGAGGTCTTCAAACTCTTCAAAACAGCCATTTCATTTGATGAAGAGTTTGGCTGTTTTGCCGACCTTTTCCCCGGTGCGGATCGGCGAAGGGGATGCATCAGCGCTGCGAAATCGCAGGCCAACCCATGTCCATCCACCTAAAAAGCAACCTGAACCCTGGGAGTCAAAGACTATAAAAGGAATAGTCTTTGATAGGCAATTGCCTGATTTCGGCAATGAACACTTCAGGCAAAGGATCGTCCTAACTTGACGATCCTTTGGGCCCCTTCGTCCCACCGGACGACCCACCGTCTTCGGAACAGTAGACAGCTGGACGCATCAGCGGCTGCGTCCGCCCTGAGCGTCTAAGTTTGACTCATTTGACCCCTGGGATCCAATATGATGGTAGTGGAAAAATCACTTCCAGGTGGGATAGTTCATTGATGATTCAAAACGGAAGTTTGAGGGTGACAACCAACCAAACATGAAATGTTCTTTTTGAGGTCAGGTGACGCTTCTGAAATTGAAAAAAAAATGTCCCTTGTCCCAGTGACCAATGGCGCATGCTGCTTCAGCCTCACAAAATCCGCGGAGGGATGGAAGATCGAAGGCTTTGCCGGCCCTTGGCCCTTGGAGATCTTGTTCACAACGACTGGAACGCTCAGGCCCATCCCTGCCGCGATCTCGACCGGAACGCTCAGCGTCGCGCAGAGCAGAGCCGTCGTGCGCGAGCTCATGGTGGCCAATTCTTGCAGTTTCTCCAGGTAGATCAGCTTTTCCATGTAGACTTCATACTCCAACGGCTGGTGTCCCTTGACCACCTCAATTTGATGGACAGTGAGTCTGAGCTGCAAAAAGCACTCCGAAAACTGCAAAACTGGTCTCTCTGTGTGTGTACCTATAGATGGTGAATGTTGGCAAGGTGCGGTGACAGTGAGTCTGCGGACATTGCGACATGCACTGACGATATAGAGTTGAAAAAAAAACTGCATGGGTGTCATCTGGTGTACAATCAGGTATATACTCGCAGACATCCACTTAGAACCTCAAGCGATGGCGGTTTCGTGCTGTCCCGGTGCGGGGGCCAGGTCGGTCCGGACGTCCGGAACTCGCTCGTCCGGAGGCTGTCTTCGGCCGGAGTCACATGGGACTGGACCTGGGATGGGATGGGAGGACCTCCCGAAAAACCGAGAGATCTGCCAGCAGTCACGTGACGCTCACGGGGTGCCGGTTCCGGAGCAAGGAGGAAGGAGGAAGTCGGTGCCCCGGAAGTCACATCCACAGCCCCTGGATGGGACTGAAAACCACCCAACTCCATGTGACTCCTGAGATAAATGTTCGAGAAGAAGTGGTCTTGTACGGGAAATATATCAAGAACTTGCCTGGGGAAAATGGACCTGCAATCCTCTCCACCAACAGTTAGGGTCCGCATCTGGTGCAAAATTGGCAGACTAAGAGGACATAAAGGATGCTTCTGCCATCCATTCTTCGTTGTCCGCATTCCTTTGCCACTACCATCCCCAGGTGGACCTCTTTTTGAAGGTTGATCATTATCCCAGGCGCTCCATGGGACTGCCATGATATGCCGCCCCATAAAGACCCCTCTGGCACCACCCCACCTGATCGCCATATATTCCAGTCGCGTGGAGCGTCTGGGTATAGTAACCCGTAATTCCTGTTGTTACGTCAGACTGAACCTGGTTCTACGGCAGAGCTAGGACAAAGAGACCGAAACGTCTCCACTACCCCCCCCAACCGCCCTCACCAAGGCTCGATCTTCTTTGCCCCCTCCGAGGGGAAGAAGGAGCTCAAGCCCGTCTCGACGACCTGCGCCGGGTCGGGGCGTGCTGAACAGCAGCCAGGCCCGGTGGTCCACGAGGTGCGTGAGGAATCGTAAAGACTCAGAAGTGGAGGAAAAAGGTGAAACGCCGAACGCTCAGAACGTCCAACTTGCATGGTTTCCACGCAGAAGAACCTCCCAGAAATCCGAGCATGTCGCCCTCTGGATTCCTAAACGGCCCCTCCAAACACGAAGAGGCTGTTGAATCATCAAGTCATGAGGGGATGCATAAGAATCATCATCATCAAGGGATTCCATGTCTCTCCTCTCCTCCACTGTCACGACTGCCACGCGGGGAGAAGACCGTCCGCCCTCGCTCCCAAGTGACGAATCCCACCACGCCTTCAAGGACACGGTGCCGGCATGGAACGGCCGATCGAAGACCTACGCGTCGTGAGACGGACCCGACCACTGGTGATGTGAAGACCTGAACCACTGGAGGTGCCAAGATGAAGCCCCACAAGCCATGCAAGAGATCCAAGCTTAAGGGCCATGCAAGATGTCTGAAGCTTAAGGGATTGCTAGCTTCGAAGACCAAGAGAACGGCCGTTCCAAGCCTGAGGGGGCCCACTGGTTCAACCGCTGATCAAGTCGATGTATTCCACTCGGTTCTCCATGTTTGGTCTTCTTTGAAACCCTGGGAGCCCCTCTTCTGTTGAGCAAAGGAGCAGAGGAGCGGATGAACCCCGACAGAGGACAGAGGAGCAGAGGGAGGCTGGATGGCCCCTTTTTGGCCAGAAAAGACCTCCACTTGTAGTGGACCTCAATTGCGTTCATTGATGCTACTCATGATAGTGGACCCTCCAAAAGGTGTCTACAAATAGCCTCGAAACTAGGACACCCATAAACTAGGTGATTCCGGGTGTCCAAAACCGCCACCCCAACTGGGGGTCCTGGAAGTAGACACCTCTTCCCCCGATTCCACGGCCAAAGCTCCGAAGAGGGCAGCGGCATCGGCCGAGCTCCCGCAAGCAGCAACCCCCGTCGTGACGGCAGGGCCCAGGTGCCGCGGGCACCTCGGAAGACCTTGGGTGGAGGCAGAAGCTGGGCGGGGAACCTCGCCAGCAGAAGCTGCTCCAAAAAGGGATCCAGTCGTACCTTGTCAGGATTGGAGATACTGTTATGTAGTTTTGGAGGGTCCAGTCCTACCGAACCTGAGAAGGTACTTTCCTGGATCCCTAGGCCCTAGAGCTTTGTACCAAGGAGAGGATGCTTTTGTTCAACCACAGGGAGAGTTGCTGTCCAGCTCTGAGCCAATTGCAGCGGAGCCAAGGAGCTGTCCACAAGGAGCAGCACGGTGCGGTGCCAGCAGAACCCCCTCATATGGAGGGCCTGCACGGTTGCCGCAATCTGTGCAAAAGCATGTCATGGCTAGATGGCACAACACTCAAGTGGACAAGATGGCAGCAACCGCACCTCCGCATCAAAGCCTTCCATCACGAATGATTCCAAGCTCACATGGGTACAGCCTGCACCTGCACGGTTGCCGCAATCTGTCAATCTGTACAGAAGCATGTCATGGCTAAATGGCACAAAACTCAAGTGCACGAAATGGTTTCAAAGCCTCCCATTGTAATGACATGTAATGACTGTAATGACGTACAAAAATCAGCTCAGCAAAATGTACATAAAGCCAGTGCCTGGGCGGTTACCACAATTTGTACACCAGAACCTAGTGTAAACATTGTTCGATCCAATCGCACTTCAGTTGTCGCCCAAAGCCCTCCGAGTGTGTATCCCCTACCCTCCCCTACCCTCCCATGCACACTCCGGGTTTTCCTCGCCACAGGCTAGTCTGCACTGTTCGTCGACGGAAAAACTAAAAAATACAAAAGAATGTGTGTAGCATTGTGTCTAGCTATGGGGTGATCTTGGATCAGCCCACCACAAAAAAGCAAAAATGGAACACATGAATTCCCAGCAGAATTGGCACTAATTGTACACATTGTTCACCACTCGTTAGAGTGCTTCCTCAAAAACCAGAGCTTTCCTCATAAAGTCACCCAGGATACCCCCAAGCCGTGCTGCTTGGACCTCATCCTCCAACTCCCAGGAGGACTTGCAACATTCCAGGTAGCTCACCGCTGCGCTGGGCAGCATCGCTTGCACCCGGGAGACCTTTGCCACATCCCATCCGAACGTTCAGTGGTCCGGCCCCCCTGCGTTTCGGGTGGTCGTCGAAAACGTTCGGTCCGGGTCGATTCGCGCCGCTCGGGGCCGCTCGGGGCGGAGCGGGGGACGGTCCAGGGCGGCGAGGCGCCGACTGAGCGGGAGCGCCCGACCCGTGCGTTCAGGTGGGGTTGGGTGTCCTCGGTGCAGCGTCTTCGCCACCGGGCCTGTGGGTCCCAAAACAGGGGGCCGCGGAGTCCGGCGCGGGTGGTGGTACAGGTTTTCTTGGAACATCGTTGACCGAACTTTCCCAGGTGTTCAATCTGCCATTCCCGCCGCAAAAGTGAAAGGATGTGAGAGGTATCCACTGACTATAGGTAGTAGGCAGGTGCTGCAAAATCAGTGATCATTGTTTTTTTTGGTGGGAGAGGGCTCGCTTTGATCATTGATCCATAGCGTTTTCGTATGGAGACTGGACTTGCAATGACTTGCTGTTTTGCAGATCGCCGGTCCCCAAACAAATACAACGACAACATCTTGGGCCAAAGCGACCGCTTCATGTGTCCACAGTGCTGGGCTGAACGAACCGGTCAATAGCATCATCCTCGGGAATTTGGGTCGATCCTGCCACTGTTGGAACAGCCACGTTCTCTCCATGACGTTGTTGGCAATCATCCGGCAATGGAAGGCGCCATGATCAAAGAAACTTTGCGGAGCTGACTGCAAAGCAGCAGCGAAATTCTGACACAAAGCTTCCAAAGAGGCCTCATCTTCTGCCCAGGCATAATCACCCAGGAGCGTCTCTAGCTTGGAAAGGTCTCTTGAAGCAAACCATTGTTGCAAATTCTGGAAGCGCGATTGGATCTTCTGGTAGGCACTGCTTTGGTGGAAGTCTTCACTATGGAAGCCCCGCACATTCACAAGAAGTGCTGCCTGAATCCTGTCCCTGAAGGTGTCCACTAAACTGCTGGTTTCTCCTAAGCTACTGTCCTTGGATTTGTTGGAGTCCAGGAGGCCAGGATAAAATATTCACCAGGTTGGGGGATTCCCCCCATCCCCCATATAACCCATATATCGGGAAAATACAAAATCCCTTGACATAAGCAGAACCAGGTATCCACAAACACAAATTTCTCATTCAATGGCATGGCCCGAATGAGCTCGCTGAGTTCTTTGCAAGCATCCTCGAAGGACGTGGTCGTCGCCCAACGACCTTGAAGTGCTTCACAGCCCAAAAGGAAGAGCTTGGCTTTCCTGAAGTCAAATGATCTCAAAACAAACCTCCCGTCAACGCTCCAACTACCTCCTGAGGTGGTTGAGGTATGTTGGGGTGGGTTTGGCGGCTCTAGGTATATCTTCTGCTGATACAGTTGGAGTCCTAGGGTCAAGTATCTGGGGCTCACAAGACATATAGAACAAGGTTGCACAAGTCCCTCTGAAAAGAACAACCCAGTGTCTGCTCCTCGCACACCTGCATCGCAACGGTGTTGAAGGCATCTTCCACCATCTTGGGTGGGGAGAGAAAGGACAAGCCGACGCAAAGAATATGAATCTCGACGGAATCCGCCTGGCACTGCCAGACCTTGACTTCAAATGGCCCATGGGGCCCACTGTAGGTCTCCGTTGTACATGGTACCTCCTTACCTTCGGCAGCGGCAAGGTCTCCACGCTTTTGGACGGCCATGGAATACTTCCTGGGCCAGGCCCCGACCATGTACACATTTTACTCTCGGGAAAAGAAAACAACTCTGGAACCTGAAAACCACTGAGTTGTAGAGGGAAATCGTCTTCCAAAGGTGCATTTTCAGGTTCCATGTTAATCTTCCTGGGCGTAACAAGCCCAGACGCGACCCGTTCGGGCCCGAATCCTCTGGAGGGGTCCTGCGCCGTGTGTGGAGTACTATCCTGGCGCTCTTGTCGCCGTGGCTTGGCGTCGTGTGTTTCCAAGTGCGTCGACCGATAACTTCTCTTGTTTTGTTTTCGTCGGGCGCCCCGCCTTCTTGCTTGCTTGGCGGCCAACCCGGCGCGCCGCCACCTTTTTGGCGCGGGCCCTCTCTTTGCGGCGGCGGGCCTTGTCTTCCCGGGCCCACGCCTTGCCCTTGGCTTTTTCGGCCGCTCCCGCCGCCGCGCCGCTGCGGCCTCTTTGTCTGCAGCTGCCATGGCTTGCTGCTCTCGGCGGGGTTCCCGGCGCAGCATTTCACGCTCCCGCCGCAAGGCCTTTTTGGCCGCTGCAACTTCGGCCTGCTGTGCCTCCTCTGCCCGGGTCGCTTCCTCGGCGGCCTGGTCGGCCGCGTAGGTGAGGAGCCGCTCCGCGTGAGTATACTTGCCCGGCGGTTGGTTAGCTAAGCTGAGCTAAGTCTAGCTTGGACTTATAAGTACTTAGTAAGTACTTAGCTTTGACTTAGCTAAGTCCAACTTAGCTTTGACTTAGCTTCCACTTAACTTGGACTTGGCTTGGACTTATAAGTCCAGGCTAAGTCCAAGCTAAGTGAATTGTCATTCCAAGCTAAATCATTTTAATTGTTGAGTACGTGTGTAAATATATATATATATATTATACAAGAAGTTGGCGCGGCTTGGCCGCCAGCAAAACAACGACACACAACCGCAAACCACACTGAACAAATGTCAGGGATGTAGCTCCTTTTTCACTTGCCGCGATGATACTTCTGCTTGAATTGGTTTCAAAAGTTATGGCTGAGCTTGTGACATAAATAACACTTTTGCTTTTGCCCTTGGCTTTCCCTTTGCGCCACTACGTCCCATGACACAAAAGTAGAAATATGTCAAATTTGAGTTCAGCTGCACAAATGCCTGCAAAATAAGTACTAGTCAAACAAAAAACGGCAACGCCGTAAACAGAAAATATACATAAGTTAAACTTGTCATTATTGATATAATATATCAAACACAGAATTAAACAACATAAACAAATACACATACATCAACAATATATATATATTAAGTATTTTGTTCATTAGACTTTATATATACTAAATATATACTATAGATGATAATCAACTGTCAAAATGTGTCATATTTTTGACAATATGTCATAGTGTGTCATAAAAAATATGACAACATCTCTATGACATTTACGTTTCCAATTAAATCTTGTCATGCAAAACTATGATAGCTAAAGTATTGATTATCATAATCTGTCATACCATATCATGACAGTTTGTTATCATACTGTTACCTTAAATAATCAATACGTTAAAGATAACATTATTTCAAATTTCAATAAACAATATAGTTAAACCATAATACATAGAATATAGATTACTAATTAGATCAATAGTGATGTACATATTAATCACATGAACATTTTGTATATACATATTTGTTGTTGATAGGTTCAAAATATAAATATATATTCAATATACATATATATGTACAATACTTATAAGTTATCATTTTGTCATTGAGACATATGTTAACCTTTTTACATTAGACCTTGACTATATACTTAAACAAATAAACTATTAAGATATTAAGGTAATGAAACAAATATATAAACTCAAGAAAGCGTAACCATTAAAAAACACATATGTATCTATTGAAAATTGTTTTTTAAACAACTATGTATAAATAATGAATTGACATACTTTAATTCGGCATAGCCGCAACATAGACACAAAAGGTCAAAATAGTATACACAAAAGCTAATGTTACATTAAATCATTGGTTTCCAAAGTTATGATCAGTTTATACCTTGGACTTAGCTTGGGCTTAGCTTTGACTTAGCTTCGACTTATAAGTCACTTATAAGTGACAGCTAAGTCTTAGACTTAGCTTACTTAGCTGTGACTTAGCTAAGTCAGACCTAAGTACTTACTAACTCCTATTGGCTTAGCTAACTTAAAGCTAAGTCGAAGCTAACCCTTATAGAGGTTAGTAGGCTTAAAACCAAGGTTATAAGTAGGTTAGGACTATTTATAACCTATTTTATAAGTCGAAGCTAACCAACCGCCGGGCAAGTAGAGTCAGAGTTGGGCGGTGTCGGGTACCTCAGCGTCGTAATGCGTGTGTCTGTTTCTTTGTTTCCGTGCATCGTCGTGTTTTTGCGTCTGCCCATCCGTTTTTGCTCTAGGGACCCCCACAGCTGCTCGTCTGTGAGCTGTTGCTGGGCGAGTCGCTCCGCTTCGAGACGGCGGCGCGTCAGTCACTCCGTCCCTAGACGTGCCTCAGCCGCGTCGCGCCTGGAGGTCACGGAGGGCGTCTGCGACGGAGTGCCTCACCCGCTTGACTGCGCCGCGCGGGCGCCCCAGCATGCCGGTGAGCATCTCCCACCGTCTTTTGCAGGCACTGGTGCTTTAAAATGCCTTCGGGCACCTCTTGCAGGGCCGCCTGCACCCGCTGAACG